TACCATTCTTGTGCAATATGTTGTCCAATCAAAGTAAACAGGACATGAAACTATTCTGATGGTTGCGTTGACTAGCTAATGAGTTTGTGGAGATGCTGTAGCCTTTTTCCTGGCCACAGCAGGTGTCTGAGAACAGCCAAAGTGAGCACTATAAAGAGAACCGCTCCAAACACAAAGGAATCAGGGTGCTTTGCAAAGATGCAGCAATACTGTCTCCAAGACTGACGGCAACAAGCGCTATTTGATGCATGGAGTAATATAGCGTACCATCAAGCAATCTCATGCTACACGGTTTTTGGTCTTATTGGGCTGCGATGCGGGAACTGGTAATGCTTGGGGCCGTCAACAAGTTCCAGAGAACCCACATGGCGCCTTGTCGTCAGGTAACCTGGAGGCAGCCAAAGCACATGGATCAGAGGCCACCATGGTCGGATGGTCGGGAGAGATGCAACACTCTCGCAAACATGGTCGGGTGACCACCAGGTAGATGACAACCTCTGATTGCAACGAAACTGGTCTGAAACCATTCCATTTGGGTCGGCAGGGTCGGCAGGCTTGTGCGGCGGTCTGGCCGGTCTGGCCATGTTTGTTTTGTGGCGACTATCGCTGAAGTGTAGCGACCACTTCCAAACCGGAACCTATATATATATATATATGAAACAAAAAGCTACTAGTAACAAGTGCATCGCTTCTAGTAACAAGTGCCTTACTAGTAGTAACAAGAAGCTAATAGAAACAAAAAGCTACTAGTAACAATGTACATACATAGAGGTCATAATAGACACCTTTTTATATGGTCATTATTCTGCTCCAGCCGTAGCTTTCACGAAGATCGCCGGCTTTGTCCAGATGATGGGGCTATGAATAGAATGGGCTGGGCTCACTTGGGTGAACCGGGACTCGGAGTATCGCTCTTTGCAGATCAACAAGCGATCATTCTTGAGAGTTTGGGCTCTCTCAGTCTCAGTCTGTCAAACTTTCCGTTTGAGCTCTGGCGTTTGAGCCAGAAACTCAGCTGAGGATGACACATAGGCTAGGTCTGCATTCCATGGCCAAGTCTTTCGCATGTTGGATTCCAGTTCAATAATTGGTTGTAATGGGTCAATGCGGAGATTTGGTGTGATCATCTTGTGCCATGGCTGTTTCCGCCCAGCGGTAGGTGATTGAAGAGGCTCGGCGCAAAGCGGCCCTCTTGGAGAAGCAAACGGGGGAGGCGCGTGAAATTCACCGCGACGGGCTCCGCTCCGCTGAATTTCAGAGCGCTCCCTGCTTTGGTCCTTTAGATTCCTCTCATCTTTTGCGAGTTCAACAGCACCTGAGTCCACTGCTCTGTTCATGACTCATTGCGGTTTTTGGTTGGATTCAGCATGTGAAGAGGCGAGCTGTGCCGCGCAATTCCTCACCAATGTTTCGATCTTTGACAAACGAACTCACGAGCCTGCAGCACTAGCCTTTGCGAGGAAATTGAGAAGATGCTGACTCAAATCAAGGCGTTGATGGAACAGGCAAGGGGCTGCGACTGCGACTGCAAATTTCTGGGAAACTGGATCCCTGCCCATTGGGTGGGAGTGGTATGGTCATGCCGTAGATATAGTAGTTCCTACCTCTTACAATGGGTGATTGCATGCCAAACAGTAGATTCAGTAGATCATAGCATCCTGAAGAGCACGAGCTCTTCAGCCAGTTGCAGGGGAGAATCATTCCGCAAGGGGCACAAGTTGCACTTCTGTGTGGGCTTCTGCGACGTGACTCACTGTCGTTAGAGATGATAGAGTGCAAGTTGGATCAACAGTATTAGATCTCTCAGGGGTTGGACAGGTCAAACAAGTCAAATTGGAATTAGCAGGTGAGCTTCTGCAAAACTCGACTTTTATCCTGTTACTCTACCACCTTAGTATAGGTTCTTGACAGTTGGAGGGTTCCACTAGGCAGTTGCGGTTTCTTTGTTCCAAGAGATACTCCTGTGGATATGGGTACCCATATTGACACTTGGAATTAGCCTGTCCTGAAAACAAAGCACTGACGGACTCCAGACATTCCAGACATTTCCGGATCCGCCCTCCCCGTAGACAGGTCTCCATCCGGTTTCCGTCCGTCTCCCCGTAGACCTGCCATGCTCAGTTGACCTGCCGTGTCAACCAACGGAGGCTGCCGAGGCCGCAGAGGTTGCGAAGGCACAAGCGAAGCAGGTGGCCAGCCAGGCAAGACAGCTGTTTTTTTCGCATCATCGTCAATCAGGATGGCGTTTTTCTCTCTTTTCATGATGGTGTGAGAGGGGAGACCGAAAAGGAATGAGCGGGAGCAGCAAACCTAGACAGGTTCCAAGAAAGTTGGCATGCAGCCAGCAGTACTGGTTTGGTGTATACTGGTCAGAGACCACCCCGTTGCTGGCCGCGCCCACAGTGACAACAGATTTGCCGGTCAGGCCGCAGAGGTCGCCCAGGAACAAGCGAAGCAGGTGGATCTTTCGAAGCCCGTTCGGCTGGGAGTCGGGCAACGAGATGCAACGAGCACATGAATACGTCCCAGGCGTTGCCAAATTGCTGGAGGTTTCACCTGAAGCAAAGTCACCAAAACATACCAATTCATCCAATTTTGTGGTGGTATTGCTGGACACACACACACACACAAACACACACACACATATATATATATATAAATAGTTATATATATATAAATTTGACAAATGTTAACAATAAGCTGTTCTCTCTGTCGCTCCTTGGAGATCCATCTCATTTAGGTTTACACTGCACCGCTGACTTTGAGCGTCGCAGGCAGCTGATGCAGCTGATGTAGCCCGCCAGCAAGCACAGCAGATGGCAAACCAGGCATGAGAAAGTTGGTGATGTCATGTGGGTGTCAAATCACCAGGCCTTCTCAAAGGTATTCTTTTTCAAAGACCCTCCTGATTCTTTCACTTCCCAGAAACGTTTTTCGGCCTGTAACGAGTCAGGTGGCTCAAGGCTCCACACTGGAAGAGGCATTGGAAGACGTTCCAGAAGTCCTTGGGGCAGGGCAGGGTCTTTCTTTTTTTAAAGCCCGTGGCCCTGCCTCCTTACTCAATTGAATAGGCACCTACTTAATTAAGTAAGGGCACATTTGTTCGCTCGTAGCTGCTGAGACGCTACTACTAGACGCAGGATAGCTCACGCTTCAAGGAAGCTTCCCCCCGCCTGAGGGCGGGGGGAGCTTCCTTGAAGAAGCGCTCGCACTAATCATTTGGTTCCTAGATTTTTGGGGAACCTCAACTCTATTTGTGCATATATTGAAAATTCATGGTGAACCATGACATGATAAAAGGCAATCCAGTATGATACGCAGACAAGCGCCCGTGTTCACGCTCGTCCATGTTCAGGCCTCGGAGGAATGTGCTATGTCTCGGACGGATGCTCTACTCGTGTCAGGAGAAGCAATGGAATACCGGAAGACTGACTTCCCTCATTTCGAGCTTAGCTATCATGGGTGTCAAGATCTGACATTTGGGGACATCCCTTCCATATTTGAGACAAGATGAATGGTTGCTAGAATGTTCAAGGAAGGGAATGATTCAAACTTGGACCTTTCATAAACCCATCACCGTTATGGCAAGTCAACGATCCCAAATTCTCCAGACCAATCTGGGTCACCATTCTGTGCGTTTGGCGGTTTTAGTCAAAAATGTAACATTGTCATCAGAATTGAACAAGATTTGGCAGGCTAGGGCGGCAGCTGGCGATGCAGCCAAGAAGGCTGGGTGAAGGGGTAAGGCAGAGATCCAAGGCACTCGGTGAGAATCCCTGAAGGGAACACATCCTTGCCCACACCCAAGACCCATACATGGAATCTGATGGAATCTTGACATATCGATTCGACCTCATGGATACATGGCTCTGGGGTGGGAAACCCTACCAGCTTCCCCGCCAGATGCAGAGCCTTGTGGCATAGCCGGGTGCCCAGGTGTGCAAAGCAAAACCAGCTCCCTCTCATGTTTTGGTGTGCGAGTGGCACTTGGAGTCTTGGTTGGTTGGTAGGTAGGTAGGTAGGTTGGTTGGTTGGTTGGTTGGTTGTTTTTTGGGTTTTCAGGACGTCACCTACAACACTTACAACACTCTGATTAATCTTGAAGTCCTTTGGAGTGACTGCACCTTATAATAGATACCCTGCTAACATGGTCTGGCAAGTGAGGACTTTTTTTTTGTTTTCTGACCAGTACAGTAATTGAAGGCTCTCTTGACCCAGAACAGAGTATAGCAAGGGAAATAATGCAACAAGCAGCTTGCTTTGCTGGTGATTCTGCTCACAGGTGCTCCAATTTGTTCCACTGTCGAGTGGGATCCCGAAACCATCACTACTTTCACATCTTTCACTGACAGCTGCAGTGAACTTGGCTGCCACCTTTCAGGAGTTCTGAATAGAACATCGGTTGTGCATTGTCAACATCCAGGGTCTTTGGCAGTCGGATCTGTTTTGTGACCGACGAAAAACACGCTGTCAACATGCTGAGGCCCCAGAACATCCACCCTCATGCAAAGGGGTGCGAAGAAAATGTGCTGTTAGACTCGGATGTGGTAAAGACCTACACAGGGCGATTGGAGTTATGATACAGCAGACTCAGTAGACATTGCTGCTTGAAGACTGATCAGGATGTTGTTTGATCAGTTTAGCAGTCAGTTCTTTCCTTCCCCCCGTTGGTGGAACAATACGACGTGCCAACATTTGCCCAGATTTTCCGCCCCTCAGCTTTTGGCTTGAGCCGTTTTTGGGCGCTTAAAAAGGTTGTCAGCAAACAACATCATCGCCCAGCAGCAGCATGTCAATCTCGAAATTCCATAGCCTGTGGAAGTCCATATTCGGTGGAACACCCTGCTGGGTTCATTTTTGGAAAGCAAGACATGCACTTCCATCCGCAATTCTATGCCCTTCCCAGCAGGTTTCACAATATTGTGTAAAGAGTCCCCCAGACATTGGATGCAACATCGACCCATTGATTCCCAAGCACCAGTTGATTCTCATCACTCGCGATGTCGGCGCCGGACCCCAAAAAGACAAAGCCAGCTGGTTGCGGCCTAAGGCCGCGCAGGTGTTCATGCCTTGGCGCATTACCCGTTGGCTCATCCGAAAGCAAAATAGGCCCAGTCTTTTTGGACGTTTCTGCCTTCCTTTAGAATGCTGCTGGCCGTTGACCTAGATGTGACCGCCCAAAAGTGGATCAGTGCTGGCGATCGATCACCACAATTGCCGGGAAGCACCACTTGGAGCAGCATCCCCTAAGACATCAGGAGAGTAAAGGCTGATCTCATAAGATCTTTCGGTTTTGTTGCCAGTCCTACCAGATTAAGTCTCAGTGTTGTGGTTTTGTTAAAAACCAGGTGAAGTCCTTCAGGTTTTGATGTCCTACCTTTGACCAATCCAAGTTGCGTGGCACCCAGCACCCCCTTTATGACGCCAGGCTCCCTGTTCGGTACCCTGCTCCCGGCCACCGTTTCACGAGGTGGCGCTGTGAAGGCATGCGTCAAGGCCCTGGCGTCTGGGGCCAACCTGACGGGCGAGGAGGTCGGGCACGTGGATAGAAAGCGCGGGCGCACACGGAAGCTCACCTTGGTTCGCCGACTTTTGATGCACTCTACAACTCAGAGACCATGGCTCGATTGGTGGAAATTAAACAAGAAGCTACTAGTAACAAAGCATCGCTACTAGGAGCAAGAAGCTTCTAGTAGCCAAGGCTACTAGTCACAAAGTTCGACATGCTCCATTTATTAATGAGGGTGTTGGCAATTGAACAATGCTGCATTTGGATTGAAGGCCAGCCTGGCCATGCGGGAGATCATGGGTGGAGAAGCAGGGAAGCTCAGCTACTTCGGGTGGGCCTGCAAGGTGGTCCTTTGCCCCAGTCATCTACTCGTAGCTTCTTGCTACTAGTAGTAATGCCAGGAGCCCCGAGTAGCTTCTTGCTACTAGTAGTAATGCCGCAATGCCCTTGTTACCTGTTTCGTTGAGATGTTCTTTGTCACTTGGAAGACTCCAAAAGCACCCGGACATCCAAAGAGGTCCGAAGCTCCCGAGGTCCAGGGGAGTTGTGCCACATGACGTAGAATTCCTCCCAGGCGAGTCCTGCACAAGTGGGTGCCTTTTTGGCCTTGCTGACGTGTGGGAGCTGAGTGAAGAGTTGGAACCAAGGGCCCGACCCCAATGTGGGTGGCAGTAGGGCCACTAAGGATGCCTCTATGCCAATCAAGTGGTTGATCTGGCAAGAGCCAACAATTCTTGCCACAAGAACTATTGGAAGGATGCCAGCTGGCAGGATGTCAGTAAAAGCTTTCCGGAGTTGTTAAGGTGGGCGCATGGGTGTGCCTGTCATCGTCCATTCTTTGGTGTTTTTGTAGCAGGATTTGCAGGTGATGGGAAGAGTGATGAGAGGCCTTGGACTGGACTTGAAGGTACTTTTGACGTTTAGAGCTTTTTCTTTCTCATCCAAACCCTTCATTCGCAGTCCCTTCTTGGGGGAATTGACGCCAGTATGTGTCACCAGCAACTCCTTGGAGGGTCAAACAACTGAAGAGGGAAGAAGGATGAAAAAGGGATCAAAGCTTCCACGGTGAAGGAAGAACCCGACTGCCTAAAGGGTAGAGCAGTCACCCCCAGGTTTAGAGCAGCTAAGGCTGGAAAAGTGTAGCTCGGAGATTGTCCGGCATCCCAGACTCCTGAGCCACTGTCTGAGTCCGGTGTTGGATGGCCCGGCAGGGAACAAGGCTGAACATCCAAGTGAAATGCATGTGTGCACGAGAAGTCTGCATGTAAATCAAGTAATGGAGGCAATTAAACATAAGTAAACACTATTTTGCAGCAAGAACACCAAGGATGCCAAATGAGATCAGACGAGAGGAAGGAAGGAAGGAAGCCATGCAGGGAGGAAAGCAGGAAAAGAAGGAAGGAAGGAAGGAAGGAAGGAAGGACGGACGGACGGACGGACGGACGGACGGAAGGACGGACGGACGGACGGACGGACGGAAGGAAGGAAGGAAGGACGGACGGACGGACCGACCGACCGACCGACGGACGGACGCGAAAACCAGCTGAAGGCCGCAAATGGTCAAACAAGAAGGCAAAGCCACCAAGCTGATTGGTGCAAAGGCCTTAGATGTGATGCTGCACTTTTGCGGATTGCTTCTTCCGCGTCTCAGATGTCTCGGTGCTTCAGCACTTCCTTCCTCCCTCCCTCCTTCCTTTCTTGCCTTTCTTGCCTTTCTCTTTGGTGTTTTGATGTTATCTTTTTGCTCCCAACTGTCCATTTGTGCTTTCACTGTTTGATGGCCGTCCCTATTCTCTCTTGTACTCGAAGCCCTGATGACCACTATAGTCATCCCATTCATTCTGATACTATACAAACATCTAAAGCTCTTTTGATTCTACTGTTTTAACCTATGCCTATGTGCGTTGGACTTTTGACTTTTATTAGCTTCCGTTCTCTTCCCTCTTCCCTCTCTCTCTCTCTCTTTTCTATTCAGGGTAAGGAACACTTTACCTCGCATGGATAGCATGCCACGACATTCTTGACCCCTTTCGGCTTCTCTTTGATCCTTCACCATATATATATATATACACATACACAGTATAGAAATATATCTCTTTGCGCAGTTCCCTTGTCACCCACAATGAGACACACAGTCCATGTTTCTGTGTTTGAGATGAAGACAACTCCACAGGGTCCCACAACAAAGGCAGCTCCGGCTCCCAGGTTCACGTTTTCATAGTGCCAATATTTGCTATGCAATCAAATAAGCAAGTTGATGAAGCACCAAAGGCTGAACGGCGTCCTATGTACTGTACATTCAAGCCACTATTCGCACAGGTCCATTCACTCGCTGATGTCATGCGCTCCAATGCCCTGACAGTGGAGGCTCGGCGCTCGTTGGTGGAGGTTTATCCGACACATTGAGCGCCAGGATCAACATGCGAACAATGTGCACTCAGAAAGTCCGGGACGAAGAACCGACTCGTTTTCTGGTCCTTTTCCACACCACGGACACGATATCTACAGCCTGGTCCTACGTGCCGTCGGTCTCTTTTGAGATACATGGGTTGGTTTTGGTTTTGGTTTCCTTTCAGGAGGCTTTGACACACAGCCAACCACGCATTGCCATTTGCGTGTTCACCGATCTAGACAAAGGCCACCATACATACCAGGTGCCACGTTCAGATGGCCCTATCGTCGACATCGTGGGAACCGGTGGAGATGGCCAGGAGAGACACGCTTTGGGAGAGAGAGACGGCCTAATCATCTATTGAATCTGTTGCTCTCCACAGTGAGCGGGGTGTCTTTTGAATGTTTTGATGTGTTTGAGCATGGAAGAACATCAATCATGTATTTATCATTGCTCAGCTCTGCGAGACGTGTGTATCTTCTGAGTTTCTTCCAAGAGCTGTGATGGCATGGAGATGCAAGAGAATTGAGAGAAAGCAGCAGGGTAGCCTGAACCAAAACCATGTCCTAGATCCTAGGTTATGCGAGTTGTGCTTCGTGGTGGATGGAATGGTCATGGACGACTATTGGAGTTGTCCGGATGAAGTAGAAGCGGGTGAATCAGGACACTAAACAAGTTGAGATAGATTGAGACATTAGGTTTATTTCTCAGGCCTTTCCAGCTCCAGACAGGACACCTTCAACATTTCCACTGCAGCTGGGCTGTTGGCAGCCGGAGCTGGGGTGCGGGTGACTCAGTACAAGACGTGGAGGGGAGAATGATTATGACTCAGAGGACTGACTGGCTCGTTACTGGATTGACCGTCTGAGAACGTGAAGAACAATAAATGTACGTACAGTATCATTCTGCGGCAACCACATGCAGAACCCACTGTGCGGAACCAGGGTGTGAAATGGAGTTGTTCGGCCTTGCGAGGATTTGGCCAATTCATGACCACCCTGAAAAGATTACAAACATGAGTGAATTCTCGTTGGTCTTCTTGGTGATAAGGCCAAACAGAAGACTGGGCCTTCATGAAATTGACAAAGCGATCTTTTCCTGTTGGAACGGTCAAATGTAGCCACGCGACGCGTGCAAACTTGTAATCGCCAGGCCCGGATCGTGAAGCACGGGAACCGCGCAGCGTCCTCCAAGAGCGGCGCCGCGGACATTCTTGAGGCACTTGTGAAACGACAAACAGTTTGTAAAAGAATTTAGAAGCATCTTTTCATTTAATAACGTTTTATTTATATAGTTATTTTACCTTTTATATGGATTCGGGTGAGCTTTTGGGAGCCTTAAGGTCTATTCTGAAGGCGGCTTTAGCATGTTACCAACTCCAACTTTGGGCAGGCTTTGGGTATCTTTCAAAGACTTAGTTGCTATGGGTTCGCTCACATATTCCTCCTTGGGAGGAGGACTTGGAAGCCATGCCACTCCAGGAACTTGACATCAATGACTGGCGGAGTCCGCTGCACATTGATGCTTGATCCTTGTTGAATGATGTCGCAAGACATATTCTTTCCCGCTCGGCCCAGTCTGTACCAATATAATATATATATATATATGTATAGTGTTTGGATATATCGTCAACATAGCAGAGTGACATATAATTTGATACCGTATTTAATGATGTGTATCTCTGCAAGAGTCATTTCGTCTTCACCCCCTTTCACGTACACCCATCCAAAGGACGCTACTAGGAGCAAAAGGCATCGCTACTAGGAGCAAGAAGCTACTAGGGGCTCCTGGCCTTACTACTAGGAACGCGGACGCTACTATGCGCGTTCGAACCATCGCCTTTTCGGTTTCTTCCGCCACAGGCGTTGGGCGCTCGACTGGAACTGGGCCCTGCCGAGGCCGGAGGGATCCGGAGCGACCCGAGGGCCGAGCTGGCGGAGAATCCGACTTTGAAAAGGGGGCCCCAGTCGTAGCGTCCGTGTTCCTAGTAGCGAGGCCAGGAGCCCCTAGTAGCGTCCTTGCTAGTAGTAAGGCCAGGAGCCAGGGAAATATATAATACTCATACATATATATATATAGTTTATCTTAGTTTCTTGTTCCATGAACACCCCTAAGGGGGTTGACTGGTTGACCATGTTTCCAAGGTAGTGCCGCTTCAATTCAAGCAGCTAAACACCTGGGTCGTTGCTTTCTTGAGCTAAACTAATTAGGTGGCTACCCGCGCTAAACACCTGGGTCGTCTGAACCGCGCTTGTTCACAGGTCGTCGGGTCGTCGAACATTCTCTGCTTTTTCGCATCTTCCAGGTGGCGCCCGTCTTGGCCGCTGGGAGCTTTGCATTTCTCTTCGCAAGGCGGATTCTCAGGAGCTGTGACGAAGTTAAGGGGCCGACGGATGCGGCGTGCTTCAAAGATCCCATGCGTTTGAGCAAACAATTAGGGAGAGTTGCCAGACTGTCAAGCATGGCTTTGCAGGACTTAGCTTGAATCACATGTGACCTTGTTTTGTGCAACCTGCAACTGGACAAGGTGCTTGCTAGACTGCTAGACTCCAAGGACAAAGGAACTAGATGCGATCCTGACCCTAAACTCAATACTTACCACACATAGGCAACTGGATTTTCTCCACGTGGTGTCCTATCAGGATGATCTCGGGGCATCGCATGAATGTAGAGATCATAGAGTCACATAGTGCACAATCAAGGCAGCAGAAAACGCGATCAATCTCGTCGGGAGGGCAAGGACGGTTTTCAATATGTCACCACCAACCGGCATGTAATCCATGGTTCGTGATATTCTGTATTTGAGATACGGGCTTTGGGTACTGTCACCCTTTGGGATTGGATCAATTCTAATCACCACCTGCAGGAGGTTCTTTACTTAGTTCGTCGAAGAGGAAAGTCTCTTGGAGTCCGGGAGAGAAAGGACACATTAATTATACTAAGTCTTCACCAACTGTATATATAGATATAATCTATACTATATATATATACAACTATAACGGGTTCATGTCATCACCACTCAGGACCTATTGACTCTAACTGATCTAATTCTAGTCAGACATTCCTGCGTTTTCGGGATGCGCCGTGCAGGTCTTACCATCCGGCCATGCGCCATGTGGGTCCCATCCGCCTGGAGCGAGTCGGGGGTCGGACCGGGAGGAGAAAGGACTGGCGGCTACGTGTAGCGGACACAGAGGGGTGTGTCTTGAAATCGAGACCCTCCACAAACTGCCTGAAAAAGGGAAGTTCCCAATTTTATGACACACACACACACATATGGGACGATTTTGTGATATTTTGTCTACAGGAAGCCTGAAAAAGAGTCCTCATTGGACCCTTAGATCCCATTTTTCTTCGTTTCTTCTTCAATGTCTGGAAACCATCTATGAAAAAGAAACTTGTCAAAGGAAACGGTGGAAGTTTCCAATCAGATGATATGTATTCTAACAACCCCCTAAGCCTATGCCTATGCACTTGGATCATGTCAAATCTCTTGACCAGTCCAGTGGCAGGCAACAAGAAACTGTGATCAGATGTGTAATTGACAGGAGAACTTGAAGCACTTGACCGAGCCCTACCTGACAGGGTTCAAACTTTGCGTGCACCCAAAAAAGCACCCTGAAGGGACGGGCCCATCAAGCATGAGCTTCCTTTTGACGTTCAACAGGTGCAAGTGCAGAACAACACATCCAATTGGACTTGTGAAAGACATGTGATCGGCCAATCAACTCTTCGTATGACCTGGGCACAACGAAAAAAAAGAAGACAGAGTGTATGGTGATTTCAAGAGGTGGTGAAGAATGCGCACAAAAAAACCATCCCAGAATGCCATCTGTGAAACAGCATCCTGTTTGGGAGCCGTCGCAACGTCCAAGTGCATTCGAGGAGCTGGGCATTCGAACTGCCACTGGCCCTGGAGTGAAGCCTGAATGGAGTAGAACGAAAGGTACGAAGCACATGTTGACTGAGGATACATATCGCTTTTTTTGACCACCCTGGTTCTGATGTTTGGGGTTGGCTTATTGATGACGAGTCAACATTCAGAACCCACTCAAAAGGTGGCAAACATATCAACAATTGAAGGTACCCTTGTCACTTGTCCCACAGGCACAGAACTGTTTTGTCACTTGTTGCAGGCGGCGAACTTCCAACATGACTTGATTCTCACCCTAGTGGAGGACATTTGAAGCTTTCCTCACTGAAACTGAACATCTAAAGCCAAGCTTCTCTCAGGCTACATGTCCCGATGCATACGTAGAATACCTGAGCCACCAATCGAATACCTTCACAGCGCGATGCATGGGACACCGTAGATATCATGACATTGGCTGTCTTCCTTGGCAAGACGAAGCGTCGCAACCTCTTTGGTTCAGGAAGCTGTCATGTAGTTGGCTGTCCCACGCCTCCCTTGAAGAACGGTTGTACTCTGCAGATCTACCATACCGCGACCCGATGAGAAATTGCAATCCTTCTTGGACGTGCCAACCTTGGCCTGCTTCACCTCACCTCTCACCTTCAATGAGATGCAGGCAGTAAGTTCCTAGCTCCTGCATCCTAGCTAGGAGCTTGCTATGGCTAGTAGCTTACCACCTTAATTAAGTAGGCGCCTACGTAATTAAGCAAGGAGGCAGGGCCACTGGCTAAAACATGCCAAAACAAACATGTTGCAGCAAATGCCGATCATTCAACTCTCAGGTCTTCAACATTTTGGGGCCGCTGACCAACCCTGCCAAGCCTGACGGCATGGTTTGTGGCCATGCCCTTAGGATCCTTAGGCTGGTTTTGCGTGCCAAGAAAAGTGTTGGCGAGCATGGGAACAGGAATTGCAAGGGAGGACTTCTTTTGTTTGAGAGAAAATGCTCTGTTGACTGCTCTTCAGGTTGTGCACCCAAATTAGGCGCTGCCTGAAGCAACAGCATGGCAATCCATGGGAGAACACCTCAAAAAGGTCTGCCTCCACGACTATAGACTCTGCAGAAACCTCGACACCTTCGATCCCAGAAAGTCAAATCCCAAAGAAATCCAAAGAAGACCACTGTCATGCCTCGGTTTGACTGACTCGCGGCAAGTTGGAGGTTCGGTCCCCAAATACCTTGCAAAGGAAAGGGTCTCGGTTGTGACGCGTTTTTTTTGTCTCGAATGTGACGCGGAGAGCTTTTCTCAGTTGTGACGCGGAGAGCTTTTCTTTTAGAGAATCTGTGTGCTTCTGGGCCCTTGCTTGGTTCTCATAAAGTCATAAAGCTCCAATCCAGCTCCACACCAATTCCACCAAATGCCACTCTAAACTCTGAAGCCCAACAACCTAATGTCCCACCCCACCCCTAAACCCCCCCCCCCCCCCCCACCCAACCTAATGCCCCACCCCAACCTAATGTCCCACCCAACCTAATGCTTGCAATCATATGTGTGTATGTGTCTGTGTCGCGAATGAGAGAGATTTGGTGTCGTACATGAGAGGAATACAGGGGGGTGGTGGTGTCGCAAATGAGTCAGATTTGGTGTCGCAAATGAGTCCCTTGCCCCTTGCAAATGCACAGGTATTTTTTTGGACGAGTCAAATGCATGCATGCTTTCTAGAACTTGGAATGGAGTCTTGCAAACGTCTCATCGTGGACACCAACAAAATCAACAGGTGTGAGCATATGACGCCTTCATTTGGCCACATAAGCTTCCATACTGACCTTTTCATCGATGGGCCGCGTGAAAATCCATCCACAAGGTGTTTATACTGCCAGTCTGGGACGCCTCTTTGTTGAAGTCTTCAAGCTTCTAGGCGTGTGAAGTCGCTGACGTCACGCCGTCACATGTCTCTTGAGCTTTCTACTGCAGAAGCATCTTGGCTAGGCCAGACTCCCTTCAGGCAACATGGAATTGGACAATGACCCTAAGGATCAATCAACCCAGACCCTAATCCAACTAGTAGATTCTACTTCGCTCATCTTCACTCTTTGGAGGCATGCGCCGGGCCCTGGTGGTCCACGGCTGCGAGGGCCTGGATGAGCTGTCCATCGCAGGAGCTTCCAAGGTGCCGAAATCGCTTCGATTCTCGGCGCCCTGCGAACTGATCTATGTATGAACCAAACCCTGGTCCAATGCCAAACTGGCGGAATGGGTGGCTCCCCGAGTTGCCCTTGAGATTTTAGAACTCAGAACTCCCAACGAGGCATGGCTTTCTGATTTGGTTCCAACCTTGAATCCCTGGTTTTGGACCAAGTGCTTCCCTAAATCGATCAGATGCCTTCGGAATTCTTTTCCTTGCCCACCAGTTGACTAACTCAGTCGATGGCTGCCTTCCCTGCCTTTGGCAGGTTTGGGAGCTGAAGGATGGAGGCGAAATCAAAGAGTACGAGGCGATGTTCCGGGCCTGATTTGGGCAGCGATTAGTGCAGGGAAGTGATTCCTTTTGGGCTGAAAAGCCTGGTCGGTTTTCTCAACATGCTTTCACTTTACGGTAACAAGTGGTTTGGAGAATTATATACTGTACATACAAACACACACACACATTGTACTACTGTACTGTATATCTATAACTATACATGTACACAAAGTTGTTGATCGGCAGCATTTCGGATGAAAGTCACAAACCATTGGTTGCTTTATCGTACTTCTTTTGTGGAGGATGGTGGTTAGTACTCCAAGAGGCTTGGCGAACAAGTTGTTGATGGTGAACATACTGGTAGATTCAAAATTGCTGTGCTTATTCAGATGTCTAAATACCATAAGACTATAATATACTGTATACGACCCAAAACCAATAGCGGTTGACCAGAAGTACCACTTGAACTTTAAAGAATACAGCCACTGACTGGGCGCCCTAGATGCAATTTCGGACTACACTTTACTGACAAACGTGAACTCGCAAGATCTTTTGCAAAGCTCTTGCTATGACAATTAGGTGGGTAGCCTTTCAGAGCAAACGATATAAATGCTCCTCAGAACCAAGCAAACCCCCCGCGGCAGTTTTCCCAATACGTCATGTTGGCTCAGGTCAAAGTGAAAAGGCTTGCACGTGCACCATGGTCAGGCTGCTAGGTGTCTGTTGTAGATCTACGACCTAGGTTTCTATCCTAGTCTGCCTTTCCCGCCAGAAAATGGGCGCCCCAAGGGTGATCTGAGTGACTCCGGAGATCCGAGTGATCCTTTCATCCCGCTCCAGCTGCATGTCTAGCCTTCCCACCAGGTGCAGCCCTCAGACTTCGGAGTGTCCAGCCATCCCCTCACAGAGGCCGATGAAGAGCTTGACCTTCGGGGACAACTCCAACTGAAACGAAGATGCTTTTTCAAGAGACTTTTTGTGATGTTTGGACTCACCTTCGCATGTTTTTTAGACTGGCATACGCGAGGGAACTCGAGCGAAGGCAGTGCACGCAGTCACCCACTTATCGGTCATTTGATTCAGTTCGTTTCGGGGGTGGATATTTGATTCTTTGTATGCTGTCTTTGGGCACTTGATCGAGTGTTGTCGATTTTGTAGATGATGTAATGCAGGGATGGTACATGGGGATATTGCCTTACAGTGAATCATCAAGTTATATAGTTCAAGAATCAAACAAGCCATGCTGGACTCTGTGTCAGGTGGCTGGGAACAGCCCTGAGGAGAATGCGGTTGAGATGCGAGAGCTTCTGAAGGGTGGGTGGGGCACCATAGCTCGGACATCTCAGGATGTTCCAACTTTGATCCTTTTCCCTGCTTTTTCAGGTTCCCAGCTGTTGAAAGATGTTGAAAGTAATGCCAAGCCTCCACTACAAGTACCCTTTCAAATTCTTTGATCCAGACCATCGGCACCAACATGGAGCAGCTTTGCTATCATTTTCTTCCTTTGAAGAAGCCACTAATTCATAGAGTGCTGCTTCCTCACACGGAAATGGTGTCGAGTGATAATTTTTAGAGAACCATGCAGACCTGCTTGTGATAGATGTTAGATGGAAGCCGAAAGCTCCCAAAATTAATTTGGCTCACATGCTGGCAGTAGCATCAAATTGCTCCAATAGCATCATTAGTTGCCTGGAATTGGGGGAATCACTAACCAACAAGATTTTGGTTTTGGATTCGCTTCTCCAGGGGGCGCGTGGCAGTTCGCGAGATGGTCTTGATGAACGCCAGCGCAGCACTCTATGTGGCCGGGAAGGCACAGTCCGTCGCTGAGACCCATGCAAAGCCGTGACCCAGTAACCCATGAAAACCAACAAACCTGTCAATGAGTCCTGGGTGGGATCTAGTGAAAACCCCAAGTTGGCCCTTGGTTTTACTTGCACATGAATATGTTATGATTGCCAACTGTGGACCACCCCAAGGCCTCAGCAAGCAGCACGCTTGTGTTCTGATGTACAGTTAATTCGATGCAATTCCTTAAGAAGTGACTTATTGATCGGTTTTTTTTTGGCCAACATGTCACATCTTGCCACCCAAGTCTGGTCGTCCAAGTGATGACCTCGCGACTCGACCCGACTCACCCAGACCAGACGTGTTGGCGCTCATAGCCGCCGCGCTTCGGCCGCACCGCTGGACCTCGAGGACACGCCGCAGCTGTTTGGAGCTCCACTGGCCGGTCCCAAAACTGGGTGGGCCGAACTGGGTGGGGAGCCCACTGTGCTGCCCAGTTGAGGAAGACCCTGGACTTTCTTTCTTTCTTTCTTTCTTGGTGCGCATGGCGTCCTAAGACTCAGCGCCTTGCTGATGCGAATTCTGAATTAGGAGCGGATTGAAGTCGGGCCCTTCTTTACAGTACTGATCCACTTCAGTGATATGCATAGCCTTTAGCCAATGCACATCCACTGGTGGGGGGCCCGACCTACGAGTTGCGCCTGACATCCATCGATCGAACATCTTAGCCAAGAAACAACAGAAGTCTCTAGGATACTCTTTAAGTGAACTCGTAGCCCAGCCACGGTCTCCAAGTCCGATCGATGAAGTTTGGGGACAACTAGTCGTCCTACTCACCTTCTCTAAAGCCGAAGTTGTTTCGGCAGGGAGTCCGGCTACGAGTAGGTTTGTCGGTTTGGCGCTTTTAGCGCCGAAGTGTCCTTGCATAACTCTCAGATGGTGAAAGAGCTCCGCTTGCTCTAGCCATTGCATCAGAGCCGTGCCCCAGACACTTGGCGCATCTTTGTGTGTAGTTCGAAGTTCAAAGGGGTCCAACGGATGTTCAAGGACTGTAAAGCCACCACTGATGGCAACTTCCAGCATGACGAGAACGGCGAATCCCATGAGCTGGTTGCCAATCTCCACCTGTTGGCCTTCTCGGAGGCTAATATCTACCAACCCCCAAGGATACGAACGTGTTCTGAGTGGCCTCGGTGGCTTGTGATGCCCTGGTACAGCTACAAACCGGGCAACCGACCACGTTTCGCAAGGGGGTCCTGCAAAGGCTGCCGCAATGGCACCTGCTCGGATCACTTGGAGTATTGCCTCCTGCTGTTCACGATTAGTGAGGTCACCATGTTGGGCTGAGACCATAACGTCAAGAGAAATGACGAACATGGCGGTGCCTTCAGGGAGGCACAGAGCTTCCAGTGCCTCTTGCAAGTCTCCGGATCTTCGTCTTCCACTGAACAAATGCAGAACAAAGACTTCTCGGAAAACGAGGCTAGCCCGTGCACTCACTGGGTTTATCCTGACTCGTCTTCTCTCCTCCTCTGTAGTGAGGAGTTCTGGCTGAAATTCTGCTGGTTCTCGAGCAAGCAAGAGCTGTTGGATCGCTCGAATTGCTTGCTGGACAGCCTGTTGTATATTCTCTTGGTTTGGTTTGTCAAATGCAAGAGCCATCTCTTGGAGAACAGCAATCACATCTTGCACAGGCATCGCCCTAGTTACTTCGGCAACGAAGGCATCGGCTAGTTCAGTTACAAAATGCTCATCCCGTTCGGGAGGGACAAATTGTGACAGTAGTCGATTCAAATCAGTTCGCAGTTGCATCTTGTCCCTCTGAATCAACTCGGGAGCACAAACTTCAAGTTCTCCCGTTCGTACCCATGGCATCTGCGGATGCCGGTTCTTCGGATTGCCCCCTTCGTCAGAAAGGACATCTCGATTTTTCCAGAAGTACGTGCAACACACTTGGCTATATCGCAGGTGATGTTTGAGGGACAGTGTGCTCGCATATTGTTTGGCACAGCACCAACACGTTGTTCCCTTAACGGCTTCTCCTTCCATAGTGCGATATGCATGACGAATGTTAGCATGTAAAAACCAGGCATTCTTTTTATCGAATCCTTGCTTGCACAACAGGCAATAGTGGCGCCACCCCTCCTGTGGTTGGGGGTTGGAAGTGGAATGCGAGTTTGTGGTAGCTCCCAGGATTCTACGATGGAAATCTGCAACCTGGTATTCACGACGTCGGTACAGACGCCATCGCTCAGAGGCCCTTTTAACCATGGCTTTCCAGCTAGGGCCCTGTGCGGCACAGAGGTGACGGCAGGCTGTTTCAGCCTCGAGCCCGGAGAAGCCTTTCTCTCTTTGAGTGCCCCGTGCACCCACTGAATGGCTGCCTGATACATCTTTGCAGTTGCCAGATCAAGGTGGACCACAGACCACACTGGATCAGGTGCATGGTGCAACATGGTGATGTAATGCCTGGCTCGAGCAGCTTGCAATGCATCCTCAGGCTCCGGGCAGTCAAGTAATTGGCAAATCGCTCCCTTGGAGGCGAGCTTCTGATATTTCGGCAGACATAGTCTCCACAGGTTCCAATATGATGTTGCGTATTTTCTGCTGTCAGCAGCAGTCAGGGCAGGCCAAGCCCCAATGCCCCAGGAAAAAACCGACATCACCAACGTGCGAAACAGCTGGATTTTAATGGACCTGGAAATGTAAGCCGGACGAAAAATGGTTTTTGCTGCTCTCCAGTATGCTTGTTTCGCTTTGGCGTAGCGAACAGCAATCTCCTGTGCGAGGTTTCCACGAAAAGACAGGATTCCGCCAAGGTGTTTGTAGTGTGGCACTAATGGTAAAAGTAAACCTTGTTTCTCTGCAACAATAGGCAATTCGGCTTGTGGGTGCCGAAACAAATTTTCTTCGAACAGCCACCGACCCAGCCCCCCTTAATAGGACTAGGGCTGCGGTCTTAGCCACACCACATGAGATTGCCATTCCGATTGCGTGCAGCTCATCAACCAGGACCTGGGTGACTCTCGGGAGGTCTGTCCAGACTGAAGCAGGTTCTCGTAAACTGACCATCATGGCTATGTCATCGGCCCATGTTACTTGGAGCAAGGAAACTTGTGTCTCTGGGATAGGCTGTGGGCAAACACACCGTTCAAAACCAGTCACAGGAGTCGTTAAGCTCTCCTCACCGAGAATTTTCTGGGTTTTGAGCAACACCTGGGACAACAAGACATTGAACACGACATCTGCCCAGCTGTCCCCTGGTCTTGTTCCTTGTTCCGTAGCAACAATGGTGCTACCGTCGACTGAGAACCAAGTGCCACTGAGGCTCTCCTGCAGTACTTGCTGTCTTGCAACCGAAGAAGTAAGGGTAGCATAGGCCGATCGGCCATGCAATGCTTCATGTAGGGCAGGCATCACTTCCGGCCCAATCCCGAGTCGCTGGGCCACCTTGGCTATATCTTGATCAGAAACATCTGCCCCAGTAGCTACCTCGCGGAGCGCTTTGTAAAAGGCTGATGCGATATCGACAAATAGTACTGCGGCACTGCTGTTGCATGCTTTTCGCCACCTCAGGAAGGAGCGGGTGAGCTGGGCGCCAAACTGTGCTTGCTGGTGTGGCCGGCCTCCCAGCTGCATGGGGTGCCCGTTGCACAGGTAAGGGCTGTTAATCCACTCACGCAGACCTGACCTAGTAAGCTTGCCCATCACATCCATTAGCAGGATGCCCCTGTGATTCGCACATTCGCACATCGCACCTTTCCCTTTGTAGAGAGGGAACAGGTATCCTCCTTTCCATGAGGCTGGTTCTTCAACTCTAAGTGCAAGCTTTAGCGCTAGGGGATACAGCAATTTGGCCGCTTTCCCAGGTATGGCCTTGAAAATTTCTGCTGGGATTCCATCTGGTCCCGTAGCCCGATCTCGATTAGCTGATCGAATGGCACGCTCGATCATGGTCAGCGTCGGGACGTCCTCACTCGAGAAGCTGGAGGGCTTGCATCGGTCTGTTTGCCTCTGAAGCTGCTGCCGGACAAATTGTCTTGCATCTACCACATGTCCTGCCTCGATGGATGCAAAATGTTCAGTCCATCGCTTCTCTTGCAATGCACGGCTCAGAATCATTTCACCATCGATGCCTACAAGCTTTGGGAGCGGTTGGACAACTTGTGACTGCTTCTTAGATGGCTTTAAGATTGGCCTTAATTTCTTAAACATCTCTCCAGGAGGGCAGTCATTCACCTCACTCGCAAGAGCCTCAAGAAATTCTGACCGATCTTTCCGCAGGCGGACACGCAGACTATCTGCTAGGTGACGGATCTTCTGAGTGGTCTGTGCCCACCTGCAATTGAATTGGTACGTCCATTTTGCACTCTCCTCCCTAAGCTCTTTCTTCCCCCAAGCACGAAAGAACAGGGCCAATGTACGAAAACGTGCAATCAATCGCATCTGTGTAACAGCTCTCTTGGCGGACACTAATTCTTGATGGATCTTTCGAGTTTCATTCGTCGTGTACTGAGGGATATTAGCTTTGGGAGCTGGGAAGGCATCCTCTAATTCACCCTGCAAGTACTGGCTAACCAGGACAGCATGGTCACTAGCGTTAACTCCCCATTCTGGTTGGGGGCATCGGTCAAGGATATCGAAAACTATATGCCGATTGTCCGGATGCATAATCGCATCCCGGTCGTACCTAGTCTTCTTCTTAACCTTGAAACTGCTCTGTTCCCAGTAAACCTCGGCCACCGTAGCAATGTGGTCGACCCCTGCATGCCCCACGGTAACTGAGGGATCTGTCCAGGTTTGGATCCAGGAGCCCGCCCAAGAATTCGGAAAGAGCACATAGTCGATTCTGTGTTCTTTGCCCGTCCGAGCGTGTGTCCATGTGAACCAAGGTCCAGTTTGGTAATCAGGAGACGTCGAAGGTGCAAACAGCTCGAGTTGTGCTACGAAATCCACAAACATAGGAGTATTATTATTTGGTGTTACTTCACAGAGGTCTCCTAGCTGCTCGTTTGCTGGTCCCGCCCATGTTGCATTGGCATCAATCATGGCAATGACCTG